TTAAAACTCTCTTTACCAACCAAACCAAGTGATGGCAAACCACTGGCACCAGGGCTGATTGAGCTTGACCACAGCAACAATGAACAGCTTTTAAAAGCTTTTGGCAGAAAGCCCACAGAACATCAGCCCTCAGTGGCCTCATCCCTTCCAAACTGTTGTCGGGAGTTAGCTACATCTGTGTTTATCCACAACAGATGTGAAGCTTCCATCTACCCATGTGCCTTTATTCCTCTGGGAAGGTACAAAAGGAGATGAAGAGAAGCCACGAGGGGAAATCTGCTGAAATAATAACAAAAGTAGAGAGAGGAGACAGAAGAGCTCTTGCCTGGGAAATACCCACCTCATGGTTCTGTGCAGTTTGCCAGGAAAAACCTCAGGCTGAGGAAGGATGTGATGTCACTGAAAGATTTAGGGAGGCAAAGGAGAAAGGACGGAAGGGAGGGAACTCTTTGTGGAGGAGAGGCTCTGGTGAGGGGTGCAGAGAGCATATGGAGGCAGGAAAGCACAGGAGAAGGTGGATTCCCCCAAGCCGGTGAACAAACAGTAGCTCAGAACTTAACTAACTGAAGAAATGCATGCACACGGCTGTCACATGCTTTAACTCATGATGCACTCCTGTTCTTTTGACAAAATTCATCACTGCTTTGTTCAGAAGAGCTGGTTCTGAGTCATTTTAATCAACTAGTGTCTCAAGTTCATGGGAGTAAACTGAATACAAGTACGCAGTATTAAACTGCGTTTTAAAGCTCTTGTCTTCAGCCTACAAACAATTAAACTGCACAGTTCATCCACGGAGGAAAGAGATGAAATTCAGCTCAGCTACTGTGATGTGTTCCTACAGCTGTTTTAAGATTCAGAGCTAGAAATGTCTAACGTGGTCTTTCTTGGACCAAACAGAAGGAAAAAAGACATAGCTGGCTGTCTGAATTCCCTACAGAAAGCAAAACCCTAGGAAACCCTTAAGGCAAATAGAGAGCAGACACAACAGCAGGCAGAAAGCTAACTCCTGGGGGAAAAGCGGCTCGGGGCTATACTTTGTTTATTAATTGGTAATCACTTCATATCTTGTGCCTGAGCACAGGAACTCAATTCAGCAATTCAGCTGTTAGACTAGTTCCTGGTGACCCCCTGGCATGGGACAGATTGCTTTCTCCTAACTCATTCTAATCACAGCCCAGGAGATGGCACAGGCCAATGGCTATTTCCAGTGGGCATGCTGGGTATAGCAAACCTCTTCTGAAGGACAGGGGAATATAACAGAAAGTATTTCATGAGCCAGAACTGTTAAAAGATTCTGCACCTCTAAAAACCAAGGCACGTTGTTAAAAGCACTGTTGTAGTTTATTGGTTACTTAATAATATGCACCTGCAAATGTTGAAATAGATGGATTAAAGACTGATAAATAGCAGTACTGAATTCACTTTAAGGAGAACAGAGAGAGTTAATATATCTAATATTTCTCCTATGATGTGAAATAAAACACATATCTAATTTTGCAATCAAAAGGATTTTAGTAAAGGGATACTATAAGCATTATGGCTTACTAGGAAAAAAAAAGGCTTTAATATAAATGCTATGGCTAAGAGAGGCTTATGGTTATAAATAACTGTATGCTTACAATGCCAAATTAAATGAAATAGAACTAGAAAAGTGCCACTGCTACAAAAGCAAGTACAATAGATTCTTTCCCCACTGCACAGCTGATCTCCTGTTGCTCAGTATTCTGAGTGCTGTTCTGCACAAAGCAGAAAAGGTCTCCACAAATGTCCAGGAAAACTTACAGAGTGATAACACAGAGTAACAATACACCTAACTCTCAAGGAGATTGGAAGACAAGGTGACACTGCACATCCTGTGATCACATTTCAGGTGAATTTTAGCACTGCATCCCAAAAATATAATGTAATTTTGAGCACTTCTCATTCTAGGATAGTGCATTAAAAGGTGCAACTCCAGGGTGTAAACTTAATCAGAAGTAAATATTTGAGATAGTCCTAATTCAGATGAAAGAAATCTTTCTGTTGCTAAGCAGCCCAGACATGGATGAGGATCACTGTACAAATACAGAAAGTAAGCTTTTTTGCATAAGAAAAGCTGAAAAGCATAGAACTGGCACAGTGAGTTGCCACCAGACAAGATCAACTCTCCACAGCCCTGAATGCAGGGAAGAAAATCAGAACAACTGGGATGTCTCCTCCAGGCAAAGGAACCAGGCCATTACCAGCTTCCACCTGGATGATCGTCATTAATACAGCAGCAGAAAAAACAATACCCTTGTTTAGCATTTTACCTCTAAGCCAGTGCATTGAACTGGATATATCTGGTAGTTCAGCAGCACAGCAGCAGTGCTGGGCCAAGTCCAAGACACAGCCTTCTGGCCCAGGAGGAAAAGTTGTTACCAAATGAAGCGTGTTGACAACATATGGAGGCCCCTGCTACTGGAGCAGTTTCATCCTTATCCAGAAATAAAAAAAAATGTAAAGATTTTGCCAAGCATATGATTCAATATAGGTCAGAGCTCTGCTACTCAGAGCACTCTGGCCACTGATACGGCTTGCAATGGACTACATTGTTTTATTTTTGACTTTACATCTTTTCAAAGGTTTTTTTTTTTTTTTAAATACAAGGAAAGGAACTGTGGATTTTTTAAAATCTGAATTACCCATGCAGCAGGGAACTGTGTAGCATTAAACATGTTTATCCAGTCTGTACCATCTCCTTTTTTATCCATTCCCATCCCAAACTAACTTGTAGCTTCAGTTTCTCAGACGTGCTTTAAGTCTTTCGAGTTCCTTGTTTAAAGCATGCATGCACCTACAACTTTAAGGGCATGAAAGAAACCCTAAAATGTTCACTCCAGAAATACCCATTCACTGAAAACTGCTTCTTTCTTTGTCCTCTTACACAGACATCTATAATTCCCAGAGGGCTTAAAACTGGGATGCAATCATACAATCATAGAATCATAGAATCACCAAGGTTGGAAAAGACCTAAAAGATCACCCAGTCCAACCGTTCACCTATTCCCAATAGCTCCCACTAAACCATGTCCCTCAACACAACATCCAGCCTTTCCTTGAACACCCCCAGGAAATGCTTATGTCCAACCTGATCTCCACTGATGTGAATTAAAAATATCTTCCATGGAAGCTAGATGAGTTAGAGGGAATTAGAAACAATATAAAATGAGATTCAGGATTCTTATTTCCATGTTTGTTTCTACTGTGACATTGTACATATGAGATTAAAAAAATAAACACATACCAAGAAGTTTTTATACAGGAAACCAACCACTGACTTAGAGAGAAAACCATCAGACTGCATGATGTGTCATGCTGCAACTCTACCAGTGAAGGCCATGTTTCTTCTTAAATAAACAAAATTATTCTGATTCACTAAGAATTCTGCTCTCGAAAGGAATGGAAGCAATAAACTAAATGAGGATTAAATACCAGATCTTTTCATCCTTCAAGGCATTAAAGGACCAAAATAATCAGACTTTCAAATGCTACGTCAAACTCTGCAGAGCAGAAAAGCAAACCTCTTGCTTGTTTTGGCACAGCAAATTCTTTACAGCTTACACTTGTTGTAACTCTGAAAATACAACATTGTGTTTGCTAACCCAATGGATCACTTTCCTATCCAAAAAAGGACAGTTTCTTTTATAAACACCACCAACTAAAGACCATTCTGTGGGAAGTACTGCGTTATCTGACTTCTCATTGTAAATAGTTGCTTAACTTTTTAAAACACCTCTTCAACAAAGGAGAAATTCTGAGTAATTAAGCACATGTTTTGTCAAAAGAATAATGTTTAAAGTTCCCCAGTGAAGTTTAAAGGATGAAATATCTCAGGTAAAAAGGATGCTATTTGGACATCAGCAATTAAATGTGGTTGTAATAGGAGAAGCAAAATCATTACAGTCAACCTGAATTTTAGTTTGGGAGACCCATGCATAGCACTTGGTGTGAATGACCACTCTGCAAATGATTCACGGTAACTGGGAACCAATAAAAGAGTGTTCTGGCTCGTTCCTATTACTTACTGCCTTCTAGAAAAAAGCATTTCAAAAGCCCACACTGGTTCCAGAAAAAAAGAACATTCAGTAGAGGCTAGTGATTGTGGACAGCTCAACCAACTCAGCTGAATCCATCAGCAACTTACTGAAGGTCAAGAACTTATCTACTTTGGGCTTCTCTACTTGGTCATCTAAAGTTTGAGACACTCTAAAAAAACAGTCACCACTTAAGATCCCAGACATGGAAAAACTAAATTTACATTCAGTCTTCAGTAGTTAGAAATGCTTTTGGAAATTCAGTGAGAATTTCCATCTTGAAGTGGAAATATCCATCTAGAAATTATTGGACAGATACACAAACCCAGATATTACCTTTAGCAAGTTCTGATTCAATTCCTCAGTTTCTCAAGCTGTTATTGCTTATGTCTTAGATTCATTTAGGATGTGATATCTTCAGAGAAGGGCAAAAGGAAAGATAGCCTATACATGAATCTCATGATTGAAATGTTGGTTCTTTTGGTTTTTGTGCTGCTATAACTTCACATCATTCTAGATACCAGCCAGCACAGAAGTAGTTCCAGACATGGTAAACCTTCATGCTCTCCAAAGTGGCATGTCCTATAGTGTCTGGTGGCTTTACAATTTGTGGAAGCACCCTGCAGTGTCTCAGTAGAGCACCTACTGCAGTTGAGGCTGTAGTCAAGCCATTCACGATGTCTTTCTCTCTTGGATTCCGTGAGGAATGCACTGAAGTGGTCCTATAAACTTTCTTTTCTCCATAAAGGTACTTATTTATGAATCTATAGGAATCTATCTATTAGAATACAGCAGAGGCCTCTCCTCCTCTGTCAAGCCAAAGCGTTTACTGTTACAAAATGTTGAGATGAGGGGACAGAGACGTGGAATAGCCTTATTTCTGTTTTTATTTTTTAGAAAACTGGGCAAAAAATTAAATAACAACGAGGGCCACGACATCCATACCTGATTATACCAAGAGGGTCTAAATCTTCTTCCTCCTCTTCCTCTTCCTTTTTCTCATCTTTCTTGGCATTCTCCAGTGTTGCAAGCTTTGAAATCAAGTCAGGTGTCTTCTCTTCTTTAAAAAAATCCAATGCATCATTTTCTTCATCTTCTTTCTCTTTGTCGTCAGGAACATTTTTACCCTTGTAGTCAATGACACCAGTAGATTTTGTTCCTGCAAAATACAATTACAGATGCAAAACTGAAAACACAGGACAACAGCCATGTTTTATTTCATGCCTTGCACCTGTTCCTTGTGATTTCATTTGAGGAATGAAATACACAATCAGCTTTTGTGAAATTCTTCCAATATTCCCAATTGTCCCTGGTTCTGTTCAATCCCATGTCACTATATTTCTGTTTACTGATTTAAAGCTGTCAAGCAGAGAAAGACAGAGGAAACCAACTTTACCTAAAACACAGCAGCATATGCCTAATCTTCTCCTTTATGTTCCTTCTGTAGTCGGTGGAAACAATGGAATTTCCAGTTGGTGACTCATCACATCTAAATACAGTTGTTTGACAATAAGCCTCCTTCTGAAGTGCCTATTTCTCCCCCTTGGCTACAGAGGGGGCCTAAATGCTCCACTTTCCTGTAGATAACTAACCTTCATATAACTAGAAGAGATAAAGTGCAGTTTTAGTTACTGATTTAATGAACTTGGACTAAAATACAGCACTGGACAGCATGAAAAACAGTTTCCAAAGCAGTTCTTCAATTTACACTCAGAAACGAAATCTGAAGTTCTAACTCTCTTTACTATGCAAGGTCCATCAAACTGAACAAACTCAGCAAACTGAAACACTGAGAAAGTTTTCTGACCAAACTTGTTATATGGAAAACCTAAGAGCGAGAGAAGAGCTCATAACTATTCTGTTCTGTGGAGTCTCTGGAAGTTCAGGAAACCAATTCAAAATAATGAGACTAGCTAAAAATAGGCTAGCTTGAAAACACTATTGGTAAATAAAATTCCTACCTTCATCCTTTTGACTGTGTAACACGGCAAGTGAGACTCATCTCATCTTGCTTTCATGACTGTATGTGTCTAACCAGGTAGGGCAGAACACAGTAACAAAACCTGCATGTCTACACTGAAGAAATGGTCTTACGCTCCCCTTATAGGCAAGGAGACTGTTGGTGAGGGCAGAAAGTGGAGGTCAGGATGCTGCATGTTGCAGCATCTACATGCTATCCATGTAGATAAACATCTATGTTTTATCATGCTAATTCTCCCCAAACACCTCTTCATATATTGACTATGTCTCCAATAATTTAAGGACCTATAGCGTAAGTACTGAAGTTCATCCGGTTTGGTAGGGTGAGACACAGTATTCTAAGGCAGATTTTGATAAATAGATCATGGGTTTCGTGACTGACTGGGCTTTGGTTACAGGGATGCACACTTGCTAGTCTCATAGAGCTCCCCACCTATGTGAAGTCCACACTTGACACTTTTGCAAAACAGTTTGCACATGTTGACTTGCAAGTGCCTTGCACCTTTGGTTTGATTCCTTAAAACTAACACTATACTAAGAACCATGCACAGCACCATGCTGGTGTATTCCCTGTTCAGCAACACTCAGATGAATTAAGAGCACAGAGCCCATCTGTTCCATTCATTCACTGACTCGCTGCTATGTCCAAAGAATGCAAGAAAGGATCTGTACAAATCATTGGAAGAGGCAACAAGGCAACAGGAACTGGACATGAAGCTAAGGAAAATTAAGGAGAAAAAAACACAATTACAAAAAAAAGCTAGAGAATGGTTTTAGCTAAGAAAGCATCAGACTTTTACTCAAAAAGTCACTGTCAGTAATTTGCTTTAGGGTCTCCTTCAGCAAGACCTAGCAGTTCTATTAGGAATGAAAAACAGACAAAGCATGGAGCAGTTGTTCACTAAGGGAGCCCTGCACTGCCCGTTCAGGGACCATCCCTCTGCTAACAATGTATGATTATTTAGCCTTTGAAACTTGCATGTTCTGAATCACAGCTTTAATATATGCCTAAGGGAAATCAGAGATTGTGTAACTGACACTTGCATAGAGACCATTTTGGCATCAGTACTTCCAAAGGAGACGTATCCACTGAAAAGAGGGGAAAATAACAACAAACACGATCAGAAAGTGGTGAGGCATTGACACAGGCTGCCCAGGGAAGTGGTGGAGTCACTGTCCCTGGAGATGTTCAAGAAATGTGGAGATGTGGCACTGAGGGACGTGGTTTAGTGGGCATGGTGGGGATGGGAGGTGGTTGGACTAGGGGATCTAAGAGGCCCTTTCCAACCTTAATGATTGTTTGGTTCTATGGCTGTGTAGCACTGTAGGTGCACAAGAGAATATTTTTAGTGATAACCTTTACTGTGGCATTCTCTAGCTCTTGACTACCTGAATCAAGTACCTAATAAGGCTTGTAGTAAGCATGTTTGTGGGAGAGGGGACACTCACATATTTTAGTTACCTAAAAATTCCAGTAACTCAGGACTCGTTGCTAGATCCTCATCTTTTGAGATGAATTTCATGATATCATTGAACATTGCTCTTCGTTCATAGATGTCAGATTCTCCCACAAAGAGAACTTTTCTAGGCAAGAGTGGAAGAGAAGCATGTGGATACCGTGCTGACAGCCTGTGGTAGAGCTCCTCTATCTCGCTGTACTTCTTGGACACCTGAAATAGAACGTGTTGTCTGGGTAAGTTTCTTTAAAGGCAAGAGGGAGACATGGGCAGCAAGCAGCAGTTTAAGCACTGTGAAGCATTAACCCTGGAATCTGAAGTGGAAAAACACGTATTACCAAAGAGCTTTACATATAGCCTAGTAAAAGCCTATTATCTACACAGTCAATCCCAAAGCATTGTTGCTGGTCTGGTCTTCTAATTCTGTTATTAAAACCTGTTCCCTAATGAAATAGAAGTTCATTGTCAGATACCCAGCGTCCATTTGTCTGACTCAGCAGCTAATTAAACACTGGGAAGATCACTGCTCCAGATACTTTCCTCTGACAGCTAAAATTCCTGTTTGCTAAAAGCAAGCTATGTGGTGGCCAGCTTCAAAAGACAGGAGTCATAGCCAGGTGTGTTCCTCATGGAGAAATCAGGATGAATCTTTCCACCACCATGTCAGAAAACAGATTTATCAGCCTTGCTGGGTTTCAGTGTGCTTCTGACTGTGAAGGCCTAAAAAACTGGCATGTTTGCACAGCACCCAACACAGAAATTCGAGGGCAAAGACCTCAGGTGACCCCTGACTCTTTAATTCATCCATGAAAAAATTCAAGGGTGAAGACCTCAGCTGATCTCTGACTCCTTATCTGTGAGAAAATAAAAAGAAACTACATGGTCTACAGGTTTTTGCATAGGGAGAAGATGCCAACAGTGGAGTCATTCCCTCTGCATACAAAGAGAGGAAGTCTGAGGAGAAATAAGGCCCAAGATACCACAGGAAAGTGATAACCATGGGAATGCTGGTTAGAAATAGGTTGGCTTCTATGCCACAGTCAGTTCAGAATTCAAGACTGGAAACTAACACACACAAAAAATCCCCCACAAAAAGAAAACATACTGTCTGTAACTGATATTTTGGTCATAACGGAATTGACTATCATGCTATGGGAGTGTGGTATTATACAGACAATACATTCATCTTGATGCTCCATAATCTATTAAAATATTTCAATGAATACAGAGTTGGATTAAGAAAAAACAACCCAAAATCTAGCGCAAGCAGAGTCAGCATGGATCAGATCCTCTCCTAGGGTGGAACATTTATCCTCCTGTAACATACCCTGGTGAACTGTAATGGAGTGAATCCCAATTAACAGTGAGATATAAGAGATGGACTGACACAACCACCACATCTTCCATCTTGGGATAGAAGAAAGCAGAGTACTTCTATCAACACAGCAATAATAGAAGGTCAACCCACAAGAAGCACAGAAGGTATCTGGGAAATAAGCTAGACACTAACTCAGAACCCATAAACTCTATCTATGCAAGCAAACTTAACAGTATCAGAGTATATTCTGCAGCAGTGAAACTTGATAGTGTCTGATAGGAACCTTATAGTGTCTACTGGAACCTGATAGCATCTGGCCCACTTTTGCCTAGGCAGCTAGCATTCCCTCAGCTAAATTTTCAGTCCAAGATTTAGGCTGGTGCACTCAGTAGCCAGTTTTGGTACTTGCAGTCATTGTGAATGGTAAAAAAAGGTTTCACACTATAGATCAAGCCAGACATCTAGCTGGCCTCCTGGCCAGAGAACAAGCCCTGACATTCACAGACACACTTAGGCTGGTCCACTGAGCTACACACAGCCATGAAGAATAATAGCCACTCTAGCTTTCATGCTTCCCTGCCTTTCAGAGTAATGATCAACCAACCCAGATAATTTGCAAAATGTTTGCATTTCAGATGTACGATGATCATTCCTGGTTCAGCGTCCACCAGTAAAAGGCAAGCAGCTCTGCAAGAAAGATCAGAACCACAAAAACAGAACTGAGTTGACTGGGGAATGAAAAACTAGGATTTTAGACTTGCTTCATGTGTAAGTGTAGGCAACACTGTACTCTGCATGCAGGATCTGACACTCATTTCAGCAGCCTCCGACTACCATGAGACATACAAACATATTTCTCTCCCCTCTTAATTTTCATCCCTCCTCTATCAAACACTGTGCATTATTCATAAATCTCAATTTATGTCTGATTACACCACTGAACTTAAAGCAAATGCACATCCTCACATCCTATTGCTAATTGAGCCATTGTGAATCTGCTTGGGCTCTACACAGCACCGTGCAACACGATATACAGTGCAATAATGCTATACTCAAAGCACACTAACACGATGCCCAAAAGCCTGCAACACGTCATGCAGACTAACATCTGCAATGTGGGGATGCCCTCTGCTGGGATAACTTACCACACACACAGGATATGAAACCTGCAGCCCAAACCACTCCCCACTTAAGCCCAAGGCTGTGCCCAGCAAGTCCCTGCCTCCAGTGGCTCTGCTTCAAACCCTGGTTTACAATTCGATGTTTTCTGACAATTTTCCAAGGGAAAGGCATGCAGCAAGTTAAGTCTTCCTTTTGCTGGTTACCCTTCCCAATCCTTTGAAAAGAGGCTACGGATTCTATAGTTCAAAATGCAAGGTTAAAAAACAAGAGGTTGCTCTAAAGCCCGTTTTATCGATGCTATTCAGTTAACGAAATCCCATTTGATAGATGTTAAAATATTTGTCTTACATTACCTGTAATTCTTCCAGGATCCTGCAATTATCCTCTCTCCCTCCCTCCCTGCCTTTGCCCTAAGCCCCCACCTGCTGAAGCCAGCTCAAGTGCACTGACTTTAAGGGAGATCTGTCAAGTTGCAGTATCAAAGGCTCGATTTACTTAACTTCCAAAGGGTTAATCACACAGATACAGCAAAGCATGCGTGTATTTGCCAGGTCAGGACCTTGTCTGCCTGTAACAATTAACAATCAACTTAGAGCTGAAGCAGAGACAGGGATGGGTTGACTGGCTTTTTCTTTTTTTGCACCAGGAAACAGATAAGTAAGTCAAATATGATCACATATAGCTAGGAGGTTGAGAAAACCACCGGGAAGTTCAAAGTGAAAGATTGTAGTTTGCTGCTAATCCCTCAAATCTCATGCATGTGCCTTACCCAACTCCCCACAAAAAACCTTGCACATCAAAGTACGCACTGATGCCTGTAGGACACGAGCCTGGGACTCTCAGATGTGCGTAGGAGAATTTGATTCCACTCAGTATTAGTGGGATTTAATGTCTCCTTTCCCTAAGCTCCTTTTAATGCCTCAAACTTGTCTTCATATGCTCTCTATTTACAGTGAGGATTTCAGCAAAACAGAGGCCTCTGACAGAGCTAACTCAGCCCCCTTGGTCAGCCAGTGCACACTAATGACTCGACTTAATTTTACAGTATTTCATGAAATACGTATCTGTGACTACTTTTTAAAAGCCCACTTCTTCACACTGTCAGAAAATGGAAGTACAGCAGTATTATCCCTTAAAACATCCTGCAGCTTTGGATATGGGAATCAAAAGCCACGGACAGCACAAACTGAGCTTTCACTTGTTTACTTCCAAGGTAAGCAATACCGGAATTAATGCTGCTTGGTGATCTCATGGTTATGCATTACAGTAGATTTTAATTACATGACCACCTGCTCATTCTTCTCACCTGTTTCACCCAGCAGAAAAGGAGCACTATAGTATTTCTTCTTTAATCAACACGAACTCTTAACAGCTGCTGAACCTACTGCTATACCATCAAAGAAGTAACAAAGTGAAGGAATTTATCTTTCCAACATACCTGTGTGGTCAGGAAACAGCAGCCCCAGCTCAGGGATAGTAAGGTTCACAGAAAGTAGGCCAATATATGACAACAGGCAAGAATAAAAACACACCCACACGCTTTTACTCCTTTGCTTTATGAGAGAGAGATAGTTCTGTAGTAAATTTCTCCTCAAAATGTGCTGTGCCCGTCCAACACCAATACTTATTTGCTCAGCCTGGAAAAAGAAAGAACTTGACTAACAAATGGTACTTGTAAAAAAGAAGTAATTAAACCAGGCACAAATAGAAAGAGAAGGCACTATCTGTTGGGCGGATTTTTAATTAGGCTGGGAAGGGAGAAGCTTATTACTAAAGAAGGTGAGGTGTGGCTACAAGAAATGCATTTAAGATAAACAAAGCCTTTTCTTCTCACAGAAATGGAACATCTGTAGACAGTAACTAAAGGTTACCTTTGCAGCAGTGACTACTTGCTACTTGATGCAGCACCAAAGATAAAACCAATTCTGTTGTTTCAGTAGGAAAACAGGATTCTGACCTTTGAAAGAAATGCAGCTGAGTTCTCCTTTAATTACCAAAAATAACCTCAAGGTTAAGCAATTCTACAACCCATCTGCTGTATTTTACACGTGGCTTTTTTTTTATTATTATTAAAAAATCCCTTCTGTTTCTCAGAACGTAGATCTGAAGGTTGCCAGGATGTGGATTTCTTCTTCTGTTAATGCTTCACAAATATTTTATGTGAAATGCTGATTTTGCACAGTCCCATTATGGCCAAGGAACACAGAACTCTGGATTGCTCAAACCCACAGCAAAGGACAGTAGCTCCCCAGGTCAGATATGAAATCTCTTTCTGCTGTTTGTTTAGCTTTGGTAAAAGAATCCTCACACATCTTGATCCACTGTGGTCTAAACTACAGCACTGAGTTCAGAGCTAGCTTAGAGGATGCTTCTGTCCTGCTCACCATCTTTTCCCAGAGGGCATGAAGATGTTTTTTGTGCAAAAAATACTGTACAAGCACATGGCTGCTTGCAGCTGCTTGTAGCCCAAAGCACAGAGAGTTTCACTGCTGCCACCTAGGGCATAAGAAAGTAGAAGACATTGACTTCAGCCGGAAGCAGGCAGAAAAGCAGTCAGACAAGGAACACCAATTTACAAGGGAAAGGAACAGAGGAAGGAGGAGGAAAAAAGAAAGCCCTTACATACTATGTCAAAGTGCATCACCCAACACAGGCATCTCAGGCGCTACCAGCCATGCACAGTAGGCAGACCGAGTTCACCCACATCATAGATGCTCTGCTGTATTCTTCTCAACAGTACCACAGTTGCTGCAGTGGGAAAATACTGGTCAAATGTAGACATCTAACCACAGAAAACAAACTGCTCTGCCTAAACACAGGCATCTATGCCATCTGAGATGCTATGGGGTACCCAAGCGTGTGCGGGGCAGCCAAATATCACACAAAACCTATGGGCGACACACAGCATTGTGAGGGCTTTTTGAAAAACCCCAGGGCACCTCAGATAGTCTAGACAGTGAGTGAGTGACATGCAACTCAGTTGGGCCTCAAGCATTTTAGCCTGAAGTCATAGCCCCCCATGCCAGCTGTCTAACATGCAGAATGCCTTCCCTTTACAGTCAAATAGTAGAGGCATTTCCAGAGGATGAGTCACCCCATTCCCCTTCTCCCCAGTGACCACAAAAGCAGTGATAGACTCAGATTAAAATATCTAACTTGCAGAGAGAGAAACTAGGACAGGTGAATCCCTCTGCTCCTTCCAGTAATACATACAGAAGACTCACTGGAATGAACTGACGCAAAGCATCCATTCTCCCACCACTCAGCTCGGAGTTTTAAATTACTTTCATATACCAAACTATAGAATATATCAGATTTAGTCAGCTGAAAAAAAAGTATCAGATGAGACAAATGTTACTCCCATCAGGCTACACCACAGTTTTCTTCCTCATAAAGAACAAAATGTCAGGAGCTCTGACCTGAGAAGAAATCAGAAAGGTTCGCTTCACTTGAGAAGAAAGCTGAGTGCAGAAAATTCTTACTCAGAGAGAACAGCCATGGGAGTGGATAACCTCAGCACGCAGCGGGAGCACAGTAGGAAGTCTGCTGCTCCTCTGGGTAGAAGAACTGATTTCAACTCCTTTTTCTAAGTGAAGCACAGTATCAGATAACAAAAAACAGTTTAAAACCTTGAGTTTAGTCAGGTTCACAGAGCTTCATGGAAATAGTGCCTAATACAAGCAGACAATACCACACAGAAATAGCAATTCCACATCCCCTTCTCTCATCTGCCCCTGTCTCGCCCTTTCCCTGTCCTTCACCAATGACTGATGAGTGCTATGCAACTCAGAGGCTCAAGAAACAGGTGTAAACTAGTACGAAGCAAGAAACCCCCAAATACCATTTTTAGCCAGGACCAGCTGTCACTACAGAATGGCCACATGACAACTGCCATTGCCAGAAAGAAGGAAGCACTGCAGGAGAGAGAACCACTCGTTCCCTCCAGAACAAGAGAAGAGAACAGTCTCTCTTGCCAGCACTTCACCATAGTCTATCACTTAAGGAGTGCAACAAATGTCAGAGATTTGCTCCTCAGCATGGATGTTTTCAGAGCATTGACAGATGTTTCTTTATCTGCAGTTCAGACTGCGTGCATTTCCATTTACCAGCTATGTCTCATTGAGCATGAGTTATATATACTAAGGCTAATGGTCTACCAGGTAACCACATTTGTCATTCTAACATTACAGTTATCATCAAAACATCTAAAAAGTGCAGATGCTGATGCCAGAACCAAAATAATCAAAGTGGATTGAAAGAGAGAGGAAAAAAAAAAAAAAAAAGAGATTGCTAACATGGCACCAATTGAACATTTACCATAAATTGAACAACATCCTCAGGTTTGTGCTTTGCTGACTTGAAGGCAGCCAGTCGGGTAACGACGACAATGTGGTACTCCACGTGGCCAGACATCATCTTCCCACGGACCTCCTGGTATTCCGGCACTGATAAATCCAGCCCAGTGTGTGCATTCTGAATTTGCCTAGGAAGGAGAATACACACACAGCTCAGGCACCGACACACACACTTTTAAATGACCGTCTCTGAGGATCCAATTCAAAGCTCCAATTCAAAGTCAGTATTCCCGTTTCAACAGGGCACAGGACAGACCCTACACTGCAGCAATACAACACTGCACAGACATCATCTATCACAACATGAGATAACACATATTGCTTCTGAATATTATAGTCCCAACAAATGCTGCTTTACCCTGCAAGGCAGAAAAGAAGATGCTGTGATCTCCCATTGCGTCTTGCTCTGAAACAAAGCTCTGGTCACCATTCAAGCCCTATCCACTTCCCCTTTGTCTTTGGGCATCTCCAGGAAAGGCAGAAACAAGAGCTGAAAGAAGCCAGAAAAGGAACAAGGAACTTGCCTGGATGCAGGGACAACTTTATGTCTTTAAGAGCCATCCAGGGAACAAGAGTAAAGATTAAAGACATGTTGGAGCAAACTGCTGGGCCAGCCATGCTGTTTCCATCCATGGAGCTTCTTGAAGAAAATCAAACAAACACCTATCAGGAATGTCCTTAAATCTGGTTAATCTCGGCCCCTTGAGCAAGTTAAAGCCATCTATGGTCTGTCTGAGCTGCCTTCTAGTGTTGACATGCCATGTCAAAACTTGACTAGTGCTTTTGAAACTCCAGTTTTCCCAGGGAGGCAAAATCTGAACCTTCAACTGAAGAACCTTTTTAAAGAGATCATCTCCAGAGTTCTCTGCAAATCCAACAGCAACAAAGAAGGGCAGAGTCCCATTTTTTTACCTAATCCTTTTTGCAAGCTGTGTCTGGCTTTTGCTTTTCTGGAGTTGTTTTATTTTTACTCTATCTGCTGGTACAGGAAACGCTCTACAGAAGTGCGGTTACTCAAGGTTGTGAGAGCAGTAATAGATCTGTCTGCTGGTAGTTGAGACGGACTGACTTCTTTTAACGCAGCCACAGACACAGGATGAATGATAAATTAATCTGCTTTTCACTCGTGATATAAATAAAAGAAAAACCCTTCTGAACGGCCTTATTTAGCTTCCAACATCAACCACACACAACGCACTGCGATGAAAACGTCACGGTAAAAGTCACAGCATCGGAGACACGGAGCTGGTAAGGACATGCCACAGCCAGGCTTTTTATTTCAAAGCTGTTAGAAGTCCCAGCTACAACGACTGTAGTGACAGCACGGAGCTCTTCCGGCCGCGGAACGGCACAAAACCTGGCAGGACAGCAGGACAGCACCGGCCCCAAGCCCCCAGGGCCGGGGAACCACGCCCTCAGCCACCGCTCCCTCAGCCGCCTCCCAGCGCCCGCCGCCCCATCCCGGCCGGTACCTGGTGGTGACCAGCACGGCGGGCGCCGCGCTGTGCTGCATGGCGGAGGATCGGGCTCCTTCCGGCCCGCCCCGGGAGCAGAGGCCGCTGAAGGCAGCTGAGCGGCCGTCACGGGGTTCCGCCTCCCTCTGGCTGCGGTCCGGCCGGATGTGTGTCGGCTGCGGTGCAAAAGAGGCGCTGGGAAGCGTCGGGAGAAAAGAATGCTTTCCCACGTAGTCGGCAGGATTCGAACCTGCGCGGGGAGACCCCAATGGATTTCTAGTCCATCGCCTTAACCACTCGGCCACGACTACACCAGCACGCAAAATAGCTGGCAGTGAAACTGGAGTAATTTCTCTCTGGTTTGTGGTCCTAAGCTGTGTCACCGCGAGGGTTTTAGCCCTTCCTCGGACAGGAGATGCTCCAGGCCCTAAATCATCTTTGTGGCCGTCTGATGGACTCCCTCTAGGAGATCCCCATCCTTCTTGAACTGAGGAGCCCAAAACTGAACGCAGCACTCCAGATGTTACCTCAGCAGGGCAGAGGAGGGGGAGGATCTCCTCCCTCCATTTGCTGGCCACGCTCCCCTTAATGCACCCCAGGATACCATTTTCTTTCTTGGCCACAGTTGCACACTGCTTGCTCACAGCCAACCATGAAACCCGGGTCCTTTATCACAGAGCTCATCTCCAGCAGCTCAGCCCCCAACCTGTACTGATGCATGTGGTTATTCCTCCTGACGTGCATTGCCCTACACTTGCTGTTACTGACCCTCATCAGGTTCCTCTCAGCTCAAGTCTGCAGCCTGTCCAGGTCTCGCTGACTGGCAGCACAGCCTTCAGGTGTGTCAGCCACTCCTCTCAGCTTTGTGTCTTACTGAAAGAGAAATGGAAATCAAACCTCTTTCGGGTGCCCAGAGGGAGGAGCAGCACCCAGGGGAAGATTAGTGGTTTTGTTCCAGACATGGGCAGCTGAAGGAGTCAGGGATGTGATGGGCTGCACATCCTATGCCATCAAAAGCATCACAGAATTGTAGAATCATAAAACAAACAAACAAACAAACAAATAAAAAAAGCAACCTCAAATCTGACAGAAGCAAGCTGTATGATGTACATAGAGCTGTTTGCTGGAGCTGAACAATTATCTTGCCTTTATCAGAAGCAAAGAACTTATCTGCGAAAGTTTGGAGTATGATTTCACAGAATCACAGAATGGTGGAGGTTGGCAGTGACCCCTGGGTCCATCTGGCACAACTCCTTCTCAAGTAGGGGCACCCAGGGCAAGAGAGCCCATAACCCATCTGTGTTCCACTTTGTGCCTATGGCCTCTTGCAAAAAAGCAACATTTCCATGCTACTTTGGGTGCTACATGGAAAATTTCAGCCATTGAACTGACTTTTTTTATCTTTTTTTTTTTTCCCCCCCCCGGCAGAAAAGTTGCCATGGGTGAGTATTGCTCAGACCAAGCACTCAGCCCATCAGTCACAGTAGCAGTGGGATTCCTTCATGCCCTTGATCATCAGCTGGAGACATGCTGGGAAAGGCCAGCAGAAGGATATACAGCAAATCTAAGAATTAATAGCAGTAACAGTGTAGCATCACTAACAGTACGTTTTCCTACCAATATTTGGGGAAATCTCAGCTGCTCCTCTCAACCTCGTGAGTGTCTTATCTTCATCTATGAGTGAGCAAAGGAGAGAGGAAGAAACTCTCTCAGCCTTAAGCACTACCTTCTTCTGGACTACTAGTCTTTCTTTCTGCCTTTTAACTCTTCAATATTGACTGGTTTGGTTGGTTGGTTATTTTTATCCATTCATATGACAGGTTGGATATTAGGAAAAATTTCTTCTCAGAAAGAGTGAAGAGGCTGGAACAGGGAGTCCAGGGAAGCAGGGAAGTTACCAACCCAGGAGATGTTTAAGGAAAGGGTAGGTGGAGTGCTTAGGGACATGGTTCAGTGGGCAGTGTTGGTGGTAGGTGAACAGTTGGACTAGATGCACTTAGAGGTCTTTTCCAACCTTAATGATTCTATGTTTCTGTGACAGCTCCAAACTGAAGAAAGTGTTCAGAGAAAAGGAGGCCAGTATGATTTCAGTCAACAACCTCTAGAAAGTGAAGAAAAATGAACAGGAGAGAAGTAATTAAGCTCAGTAGATGGATAAAGGAACTTCATTCGTGTTGAAGATGTATGAGCATTCAGAAGTGTCCATATAAGAGGAGCTCATGCTGAAATATGGTCTCATCCTGAAAATCTACATTAAGAGCTCTCCATAGTACAAATGTAATGGAAAAGGCAGATTTTAAACACAGAATTTAAGGAGAGATGCTTATAACCCCAGTAGATCATGTAGCAGCTTCATCGGTGAAGTGGCTATTCCAGTTTCACCATCAGCATTAAAAATACTTTATTACTTCACAAAAATAACATCAAAATGTGGTGAGTTATTTTCAGACCTCAGAACTGTGATACCTAGTATAGGCAATGACTATTACATTACAGTACCCTTACAGATCTCATGATTTTGGGATAACTTTTTAACATATGGTTCAGTAATACGGTGGTGGCTGGTAAATGAGTTGGTATAATCATTTTCCCAAACTTTTCACTAAATCCCTCGTAAGAACCAAAAATTGTTCCTGCTCTCCTGTCTTCATGCCTATCTGCCCTTCTTTCTTGCTGCACAAGCTGGAGGAGCTCCTGCATGAGCTTCCTTCACAATGGGAAGAATGTCCCATGGAAGAAGTAAAGTCAAGAAGACCCTGCCCAGACATTCAGCATAAGCCTGTGGGTATTGCAGACTCCATGCCACAGACAGCCAGATCAATGCTCAGGGAAGGTGAGCTGTTTGTTTCTGGATTAATTCTTCTGTCCACTAGAGAGCACTCAAATCTAACCAATAAACCATGATAGGTTGCTGGTGCTAACTGCAGCCCCGTACTGCGTCTCACCCTTTGGGACCCAGCTCTGGAAGCTGTCTCAGAGTCCTGTCTGTCTTCTGGCTGGGAGCACAGCCCTGGCTGGGTGTGATTCTTGGCAGCTCTCAGGTTTCCTTTTCATCTCCCCCAAGCTAACAGACCTGCAGCAGTGAGTTTATAGGTCTCAGGGGAATTATCCGCCAACTTTTGGATCCCTGGCAAAATGCTCTGCTTGTAATTCATGGATGTGGAGAAATCAAAGCCCTGCATAGGGTATAGTAAGTAAAATGGAGGGGCTGGGGGGAAGCAAGGACAAGGGAACGTGCTTCCATACAAAATAAATTGGCTATGAAAACACATTTTAAAAGCTGAAATGAAACTTTTTCAGCCTAGATCATATTGAGAGAAATACAGTATCATTTAATTACTGCACTGGAGTAATAGGATTCCAGTGAGATGATCGGTCACTTTATCGTTTCTACCACTATTTGTTTTCAGATGACAATTACAGAACCCAGATGCAAACCACTAGGAGATTTTATATTAAGTCCAGAATGCTGTGTGAGTTTCAAAGGTAACAGAAATGCTAGATTTAAAGTTCATTGTTGTTATATGATGTGGTAAGGCTGTTGATAGCCTGTCAAAGCAGCCTTCTAATCTACACACCTCCTAAACTGAGGATCAATTTATTCTGGGAAGAAGGGAGGAGAGTTATATTGCTGTTCTTCATTATACCTCATGTTTTTCCCTCCTCTAAACAGTTAACCTGTAATATGATGATCCCATGTCAGGAATAATCCAATAAAAACCATAGGTAATCCCTGATGAAAGATAACCTGGCTCTTGCCCTGTTGCAGTCCTAGAATTAAAATTCCCTGTCTCTGAAGTTTGGGAGACCAATGTAAATCATGGATAACATTCATGGTAGACAGCTGGAAAGAAAAGATGAGGTTTTCTGGTTTGCTTCAATTTAAAAATAAAGTAAAATAAAAGAAACCATGCAATACAAAATATATGTGTATATAATTCTATATTATTCAAAAATGGCAGTAGAAACTACAGACTTCCTTCCTTCCTTCCTTCCTTCCTTCCTTCCTTCCTTCCTTCCTT